AATAATCATAAGTGCAATATAATAAACATTCCGTAACATAGAAAAATTTTCCTTATTTATTCATTTCATCATTTCTTTTCTGACATTTGATATATTGTGTAAATTAATTTCGACATGGTCGTTGTCACATATATCAATAATTTAATTTTCCGATTTCTTATTTCATCAGATAATTATTTACACACTATTTATAAACTATTGACCTTTATTTCTGTTTATTTTCAACAATTATTGTTATTATTTTACAATGATATCAATTTAGTCAGTTATAATTCCTATAAAATATGCTTGATCCATCAATATGAATTCTTGTGAGAAGTAGTGACCAACAGAGTTCAGTCATTTAGGCTGTGGGACAAATATCACTAATGCTATTGCGTGATGGTTACACAATATCATGAATTCAATGAAATTGGAAATGTAGATCATTGAATGCAACTAATTGTATTTGTTGATACCTTAATCACTTGAAAATTCAGACTCTCTCTCTCTTATGGATCCAAAAACACATCGTACTTACAGTAAACTTACCCTAGCTAGATTGATTTAACTACAATATCCGGAGCGGTTTGATTCATATTACCGCTTATTTTATTCTTCGTTTTTGTTATGCAACAATTTGTCCAGGCTGAGCTTAATTTCACAGATATCTTTACACATTGAGGAGTCACCAGCTTATCCGATTTATATTAGATTAATATATCACATGGTTTTGATAAACTAAGATATCTCATCGAATTATTTAAACTGATCAAAGGAAATAAATGTTTCTGAGAATTAAAGTTGACTTTCAGATGTACTTTAGGGTCGTCTCAAATCGTAAGTGGTTGGTCATAGTACATTTGTTTGTCCAGCTATTTATTTTAATGGTCTCTTGTTATTCAGTAATTGACAAGTTTGAAAGTGAGACTTAATAAATTTACGAAAAACAGATGGACATTTTCATGACAAAACATATGAATTTGCATTGTCTCTTTTTTAGCACATAATCCAATCTAGTTCAAAAACAACATACTCATATTTAAAAGTTCTTGTACGTTCTGTACGTTTTCTCACCAACGGAAACCTATGAAAATTCTGCTGGGCTTATGAACAATCTAGTTTGTGATAATAATCCTTTTACGTCCATTCATCGGTGTATAGCTAGTATTTACTGCACGCATCCTGTAAGACCCAATGCAATACTTGCGATTTATCATATAACCATAACTTGAACTAATACTTCAGGAAAAATACTATTGAAAACAATAAACAAACGAACCTTGTTCTGATGAAAAATAACTTTGTTGCCAATCAGACGAGATACATAATGAATCTTCTGGAATTTCGTATCGTTGTAGCCAAATAGCAGAAAAAAGTAATTTTATCTCAGTCAGTTTGTTTAAGTGAATCCAGATTGACAAACATTTGTATTTGAATAGTCCCTTTTCTTTAAGATGATTGATTGGCTAGTGGAAAATAAAACATTCAATCACAGACTGGTAATAGCTCTCAATCTCTTAATTTAAAATAATCTTGACCATTATTATATATATTTTTAATATATTTCCCAGTTTTCTATTCCATATTTGTAGACAAGTAACAGGGTTCAATAATTCTTTCACATTACGGCCAGACTCAGAGTTGGTAATTGAATAATAAAATATTTAAGAAACCTGACTTACTTGAGCAATACAGACGAATAAATATTTCTGCTGTATTGATTATTCTTTGCCAAAATAATTTTTTTTTCAAATAATTTTTACATAGTGGGTACAGGAAATGACATCTATTCAATTGTAAGTTTTTTCATCAGTGTCCCCAGATGAATATCTACTGAGGTAGAAAAAATATTCCAAACTCTTTCTACATGAAGTTTACCATTAACTTTTCGGTTCTTTACTATTATATTGCTTTTTCAAATAAAATACATGTGTTGTAACTATAACCTCAATAATAATAATAATAAAATTTTGGCAAAGTATTTTATTATTAACTGAGTTTATATATGTATATGTGCCGTCACATTTCTTCTTTTTCAAAATAAACGTTTTTGTGCTCTTTAAATAAATCAAAGTTCACTTAAGAAAGATCCTAGGTACATCAATTGCGTTGTTCTTATTAAAAAAAGTTATATACTCATGTGTATTTCATTTAAAAAAACAAAACAAAATGCACTCGAAGCGTAATACTTGTTTTGATCGTAGAACTTATTTTTATTAATAGTTTAATGACAGTATTCTTACCTTATTATTACAAAAAAATATTGATGCAACTAAAATATGCTATTATATGATATTATATGTGCTATTCAGATTTAGTTTATAGTGCATTTAATTGTAAACAAATAGGAAATAATAACTGTCATCGTTGACTGACGTTGAACCACTGAAATTTCAGATTATTTAGTAAATATAGGAATATTTGAATAAAAATTAATGGATGACTGCTTACAAATTCTGATTGATCCAACTCACCAGTTAGATATAGTCAAGTGAAAACTATTCATGCGTCCCGTCAACGAAATGATGGAGTTTTACTTATTTTCAAATACACAACATAAAGCCACTATTATATCAAGATACTTGTTTCCAATTAACACTAGATATCCGGTCATAAAGTTTATTGAGTTAACCATTTTAGGTGTACAATAGAAAGCTAATTTCTAGAAACTGTGTCCGTGGTTCCAAAAAAGGTTGAAATATTCGTATTAAAAGGTATTTATTTATGTATTTACTATGATGATTTTTAGTATGGCAAGTTCTTTCCTGGTTACCTTTGTCTATCTTCCCCGTATAATCATTCAGAGTTTATTTTAATCGGTGCTGAGTAGTAAAGAACATCGAAACAAGTGATCGGATGATTAATTTCGAATTTTGAGTTAACTTATATTCGTTTTAATTATTGTGTTACTGAATCTAAAAGAAATTCTTTTGATTTTATTCAGTAATATTTAAATGAAGTCGATGTTTGCCCATTGAAATGATTAATAACACTATAACACTATTCTTCATGGACATTGGCCGTTATAAAAACGTTCAGGGTGAAATTATATTCGAAAGAAATAATTTAAGTTCTGAAGTAGTAGACAAACGATTAATTTTTAAATGGACACATGAATAATTTGAATTAGCATTTCATTCTATGTAAAGTTAGTTGATTCACGTAACCCAGTATGTAGATTTTATAGATCACATATCATTCCAATTGATTTAAATATACTGTTTTCGATGTACATTTCCTGCAATAGAAATTATATTGATGATGAAAATGTCAAAGCTGGTGTATGAAAATTTATACTAAATAAGAATACAACTTCGAGTGAAAAAATATTGATAGTAATCATTAGATTTATAAAAGCAGTCAGTTTGAGTTTATTAGTCTACAAATTTCCGTACCTGGATATGATTACCCTTTCTAAATATTCACATACTAAAAACTATTGCCCATTGCCTTTTATTTTTCGGTAGTTTTCAAGTTAATGTCATTTTAAGTTGAAAACGTTGTTTTGAAAAAAATATATGCACAAATCACGTAATCTGTTCATTCGTGAACAGTATAATATTTTGATCTTGATATAGTCACAAGGTAATCTATTAACTATTAATCCCTTATTCAAAACAAATAATGAGCGAAAATATGTGATAGGCTAGTTGTGAGAAACATATTTCTTGTATAAGATCTTTCAATGATAAACCAGAAATCTCTTATCATGCATTTATTACAGTAAAGAATATAGGTACACATTTAAGCTACCTAACTAAATATTCATTCAGACTTAGAATATATAGACATAGACCGTTTATATATTATAACAAAAAAAGGACCACTTTGTCAATTCATTTGTTGTCATTGAATGTTATTATAATATTATAATATTCAATACTATGCTACATTGCGTTAATTCATCAGCTGTCTGATGTAACTGTCTCCAGTTATTAGATTTCTCTCTTACAGTCAGTAAACAATATTTCTCTTTTTTGCTTATCTATTAGAACTTTCGCAGTCAATGTATATGAAACAAATAATACATTAAATATCTGATACTTCTTGAGCACACTATTCTAACGATTTCGTATAACCTTGACTAGTATAAAATGACCTAAGTATGTTCATCCAATACCAACGAATATAACATGTTACTAATCAAACGTCATGGTTAAATAAATAATTAAGCAGACTAAAAAAATAAAAACAATACCTTCTTGTTTATTTTGGTTGAAAATTATGTGATAGCAATGTCAACGAAATGTGTTATGCTAGGGATAATTACAAGTGAAATACGTAAAAATAAGTTATAGGGAAAAAATACAAACTAAACATTTAAAATTACGTCCGGCGAATTCAGTAGACCGGGATCAAAGTTTAATATGAATGGAATATAATCGAATACAAGGACACTTTCAATCTATGATATCAGTTTTTCTCCCTAACTTACCGTATTTCGTTTTTGACAATTCAATCCATTTTACCTGTTAATTATCCCAAAAGTTACTCATTAAGCGAGGTGATAACATAAATGTATATTTCTCATAGTAAAAGCTGATCAACATAAAACTGTTTGGAAAATTGGTTGTTATTAGGATACATTTGTCCATATTCTGAAAAAAAAGAGAGGAGTATACAAATCAGATGGTAACAAGTATTTTCTCCAAAGAAAAAAAATATAGAATGCTGAAATTTTAAGTCACTTTGAATTGTATACGCAATATGATTTGATTTTCTGTATCATGTTTTTAATAATTACTATATTTTTAATAACTTCATGTTTTCTATGTATACAGAAACAATAAAACAAGCATAATTAAATATTTTTTTCGAAAGTGAATCCAGTTATTTGTGTTGTTTGTACAGTCATCAATAGAACTAACTATATTTCTTTGTTTTGACATTTATTTCAAGATTAATATGCACTATTAATGTACCTGGTGGTTTCTGATTCCTTTATGGAATGCACTTTACGTTCAAATATTTTTTAAATTGACAGTACTTTTTCAATCTTTTTTTACATGAATTAACAGGCGAGAGCAACAATCAATGAACAAAGAGAATCAAACAGTCATTTACATGTCAATAATCCTTTAATTAGTGCACTGGAACATGGAAACTTTAAGCATCATAGACGTCTAACAAGTGAATCTATTTCAAAAATCTCTCGTTTATTGAGGGTGAGACAGTCTATATCAAAAGATTTATATGAAAGTAGAAGATCTACAAGTAATCTTAAAGACTGTGATAATACCAAAAATAATAATGCTGGGGTTGGATGTAGTGACCATATGTCAAATGTTGATAAAATAACTGAAAGCCAATCTGCCGTTCATCGTCGTGAGTCTAATCCTTTTCGTCATTTGCAAGTCTTCCGTCTACATGGTTCACGGAGTCAGCATGCATCAGATCGTCGATGTTCAGCAATCCATTTAACGACATTTTCTAAACGAAAATTAAATCTTCATAAATTCAAACATAACCATGGTTATCGTAATTTTTATAAAAAAATAAACTGTTCCACAAATTCTGAAACTGATGATAATCATAATAATAAAATAATAGTGAATATGAAAGTCGTAAGTTCTTCACAAATACCAGACAAAGCTGACATAATGGACATAGATGCGCATTCTCATAATGATAATTCTACTGTAGATAACTCAGTCTATCCTTCCTATAGTGAAACAAAACCGTTGTTAGATAATTCAAGGTTAACTTATAGTGATGAACTTGGCCTGAGCGATTTGGTAAACGAAAAATCGTTTCTCACAAGGGATCCAGGTTTCGCATCAAGTCCCACTTGGCCGTCTTTTAGATTTCCATCAAATTCGTTCCAATCCAAATCCAACTTCAATTTTACTGATAAGTCATCCAATAATTATGGGAAGTCACTTAATCCGTTTGACAGTGATAGTTGGTCTAATGAGCATAATCTAGTTAATACAGCTGCCATACCTAAATCGTCCTTCAGTGCTGCGGTTTATCCGGACTCTGTGATATTTTGTACAAGTTTCAATACAAAAGCAAATGTTTCATCTCAGTCATCATTTGTGCAATCCAACCCAATGTGTTCGTCGTTGGAAGATGAAAATTTAACCGAGTTTGCTAGTGCACAGTCACATATTTCAATCACATCAACATCACATCCGAACAGTTCATCAAATAATACCACCAATAATTTTATCAATAAAATAATTACCCACTCTCAAAACTGTCCAAAATTATCGTTTCCTACTGATAAAAGTTTGTATAAAAGTCATATTAGTTATGCAAAATTAAGTCCCAGACTTTCATATTCATTTCCCCATGAATTATATCGCAATGTTTCTCCAGATTTGATAAAACAATGTGACAATCAACTTAAAAATTCTCCCTCAAAACTCGTTAAATCGAATACTGAGAATTTGACTGATATACATTCAAGTAATGCTTCTGTAAATTCCGATCGTCCAGTATCATTATCATCATTTAAACAGCAAAAGGAGTAATTAAGTAAGTATAATGAATTTTTATACGACAAATGTCATGATCTTGTTGCGTCAAGTTATACTTGTTATTAGTTCAACCATAGTAAAATCGTGATAATATCGTATTTCGAACTTTGGAAGTAGTTACAATTTTACACCTCATTTTTGTTCGCGTTTTCTGTAAATACTCATTTAGAGAAAGCGCTATCGTAGTCTAGCTTCTGAGAAATTGGTCACTTACACGGAGGTTAGCTTGATGACTCAGAATATGCAGATGATATAATGGTGTTTGGTGACAATACTGATAAAATGCAGAGTCGTCAAATCACCTTGAGTAATAATGCTGATGTGTTTAAATTATGATTTTCTTCCTCTAAATCCCGAATATTGCTGGCTGGTCTACGTGGACACCTGAATCCGTGGTAAGGAGTGAAATAATAGGGCGCATCGACCACTTCATTTTTCATAAACGTCTCATAAACACTGATACGTTTGCGTCTAACTAAATCCTTGCACGAATTCAGAATGCTAGTTTGTCTTTTACTAGTTCATATCTCTTGCGGCGTAGGAGATGCCTGTTTTTGAATCAAAGGAAAAACATGCTTTACGGTAGTTCGTACTGTGAAACACACCCATTAAGAATTGAGGATAATAACAGTTTACGAGTATATGATCGTAGGTGTTTTTAAAGCACAAGTCTCCTAAACTGGGACGATTGAGTAAGCAATGCTGAAGAGGGAAACGAAAAGCTAGTGGAGAAACGTAACTCGGTCAATAAGATAGTGAGTCGTTGTTGATTGAAGTGATTGAGATATGTGGTACATAAGCCTAACCACCATCTACTTCGATGAGTGACTTCGCCTGATTTAGAAGTAGTTGATTGGAGTAAGCTAGAGGCAACGAAACCAAAACGTAACGTTGATCCATGAATTTATTGATAATTGAACTGAACCGTATTTTTAGGCATCATTTGTTAGTTCAGTTAAGCAACTTAAAATATTTTTTCCAACTGGTTTCCAAATTAGTATATTTCACAGCCTAACCATATTGTAATATCGCATAATTAGTTAATATAAGTAATTAACTAGCCTAAAATAATAAGAATACTTTTAACAAATCTTAGTATAATAATACCAAGTGAAAAAAGAATGAATTTATGTTTAATAAACAGTCAGAAGTAAGAATTCATAACTAAGGATTATTGATTATAAACCCTACTGACATTATTCTATTATTTTTCGTGCTATTAATCGGTTTCTAATATGTATAGGCAAGATAAATGAAAAGCCTTTTTATAAACATTGAAATTAGCAAATAGGTAAGCAAATAAATCCTGATTACTTAAATGAATGTATGTGTGTAGGTGTATGCATCTGTTTCTATGTCTGCACACATATACTACCTCTCTATTTAATACACTTTCAAACCCACTTACATTACGTGATTGATATTTACTTTGTTATTGTTATTTTACGAATATGAAAAAAAGGAAATACTCGAATATAATATATAATTAACTGTTTGACTAACCGCCTCTTAAATATTGATCGATTTAATTTTACTTCCAGGGAAGTGTTGTTAATGCTTGTCTTCAGAGTTTTTTTCTTTAAATTTCATTTCCAAACTTTATTTTTAATCCCTTAGAATATGAATATTTTACTTAAGTACTATAATCGATTATGTAGAATAGAAACAGTGATCTTTTTTTTTAATGCTTAAATTAAGGAAATTTCAAACTAAAATACATTAGTTATTAAAGCATTTGTAATGAAAATACAACACCACCTACCTTTGTTTGTTATCAAGTTCTACGAAACTAGTTTACTTCACTATTAAACTTATGAAGTAAATTATTATTATTACACACAATAAACTGAAGATTTATCTGCAAATTTAAAAATTAACCAATCAAAATATTTCCCCATATATATATATAAATAATATTCTTGCGTTGTTCCTTTGTACTATTTAAACTTGGATTCATTATAATTTGGTTATTTATTTATTCTCTGAAGAAGTGGCTTACATCAAGTCACGAAACGTTAGAAAATCTAATTTTTCTACTGGTTAGGATATTAAAAATGTATTATTTATTTATGTTATTTATCAGAGTTGCATACTTATGTTTATATTTATTTAATATGGATAACTGTTGAGGAATTAACTATGAAGTATTAAATGAAGTAGATATATGGTTATATAATAGATGATACAAAATAATCAAATGAATTTGTTATATAGATGAAAAATATAAGAGGTAATTATCAACTGGAAGAATATTAAAATTGCAAAAAAACAACAATTGATGATTAAGGATTATTATCAAGTATGAAAAATTAAAATCTGTTTAACTATCACAATAGAATAGACATATTATTTCTAAGCATATGACATTAAAAAGTATCAGTTGTTTACTTGTGAACTAACCAATATAAGATTATCTTTTAGAAGTGTTAATGTGTTCTATATACTATATCTTTGTATTATGCAGTTATTATAAACAAAAGTAATCAGAATTTTAATTTTATAGTTGAAGAATAGTGTAAACGAACTTTTACATTAGTGGTTTTAAATAAATGTTAAAGTGAAAACTTAAAGGAAAAAGAAATAAAACATTATTTTTATGTGTATATATACTAAACAGCTTTTTGTTAAAACGATGAGAAAATCCCTAAAAATTGATTCTATTTGGGTTTGGTATAAGCGGATTTTTTGTAAACAAAAATATGTAAAAATCTAGAAATAAGAATGTAACAATTGATAATAAAAATGAATTTGATGGTCAACTGATTTATTAATCACAGTGGTAATTATCAAAAATACATGATATTCAACTGGAATATACCTAATTGTGTTAGTATCTATGCAAACTAAATAAATTTCCAGTATAGGGTTGTGCAGATTGCTGACTTTCAATAAGATCACTAATCAGTTAATGTTAAACCTGAAAACACTGGAAGGCCGTATCGTCCTAGTATAGGACTCCTCAACAGTGCAGATCTCTCACGCGGGACGCAAATCTAGGACTTTCAGCCTCGCACGCAAACGCGTCACCATTGGACTATTGAGCTGGCATCCAACAGTATTAATGTCTAACTTTAAGCAGTCTACCACATTTCGCGACCATCTGTTGTCTTTCGTGGATAACTGCTTCACATCCGACATGGTTGTTCTTTACTGGTCATAACTGGTCACTAGAACATTGAAAATTCCGTCTCGAAGCTAGTCGCTAGTGAAGACATGATTATTAGTATAGGGTTTTTCTTACATTTGAAAGAGGTAGTATATAAACTATACAGCTCTAAGTTAACCGATCTTTCTTTAAACAAATACGCTTATATCAGTTGTATATAATATTCATGATAATTTTGAAGTATACATTTATTACACAAAAGAACATACGAAGTGAACTTTTTCTAATATGCATTGAAAGAAAATCATTCAGACGAGATACGATTTACTTTCTGTTTACTGTAAGGATCATACTTACTTACTTACTTACGTTTGTTACTTCTTGTGAAGGAGCATAGGTCCCTCACCAGCATTCTCCATCCAACCCTGTCCAAAGCAATCCTTAACAGCTCTTTACAGTTGTTATTCATACTTTCCATATCTGCTTTTATTTCCCGACGTAATACGTTCTTTGGCCTTCCTCTTTTCCGCCTTCCTTCAGGATTCCAAGTTAGGGCTTGTCTTGTCATGCAGTTTGACGATTTGCGTAGTGGATAACCTATCCATCAACTCCATCGTCTTTTCCTAATTTCCTCTTCAATTGGAAGCTGGTTTGTTCTCTCCCACAGAACGCTGTTGCTGATGCTATCAGGCCAATGGATGTTGAGTATCTTGTGTAGACAACCATTTAAAAATAATTGTACCTTCTTGGCGATGGTTGTTGTAGTTCTCCATGTTTCAGTTCCGTACGATAGAACGGACTGCCTTGACATTTGTATTGAAGATTGTGAATTTGATATTGGTTGAAATTTGTTTTGAGTTCCATATGAACTTCAACTGTATGAGTGCGACCCTTATTTTGCCAATCCTCACGTTTACGTCTGCATCCGATCCTCCTTGTTCATCGATTATGCTTCCTAGGTATGTGAAGGATATTACATCTTCCAGAATTTCGCCATCAAGAGTGATTGAATTGCTGTTCTCCGTGTTGTATTTGAGGATGTTGGTTTTCCCGTTGTGTATGTTGGTGCCTACTGATGCAGATACTGCTGCTACACTGGTTGTCTTTATCTGCATTTGTTCATGTGTATGCGATAGGAGGGCTAGGTGATCTGCGAAGTCTGAATCGCCTAATTGGTTGTGAGCTGTTCTTTGTATCCCGCGTTTTCTGTCAGATGCCGAGGTCTTCATAATCCAGTCGACCACCAGAAGAAGGAGGTAGGTAGAGAGTAGACAGCCTTGCCTGACTCCGGTCCTTACTTGGAATGCATCTGTCAGCTGTCCTTGATGGACGACCTTGCACTGTGGTCCATCGTATGAGTTCCGGATAATATTGATAATCTTTTCAGGAACTCCGTACTGTCGGAGAAGTTTCCATAACGTTCTCCTATCTACACTGTCAAACGCCCTAGAATGACCCTATATATCCCTTTTTCTCAAAATCTATTCATTGTGGTTAATTTTAGAAAAAAGTGATGGTCAAAATGTGATGTACAATTAATTAATCTTAAATAAGGTTTAATTGAATAATTGTTTATCTACATATTTTGTTGTACAACAGTAATTATATTAAATGACTAACTTAGAATTATAACTTTACATTATATATGATTGAAGTGTGCTTAGAAATAGTCCTTCAAATGTTGTTATTCACCTTCTTAACGGGATTATTTTGTATACATTCCACTTAATGTGATAAGCTTTGATTTATGCAACACCTAACAGTAATCAGATAAATAAAAAAACATCAAAACAAAAACATTTTAATTAACAATCATTTCATTCTTCCAGTTAATTTGTTTGAATCTGGATATTTTAAAAAAGTGTTATCGTTTTTAGGTTGTCAGTAAATTA